TGAAATGTTCGGGCAATGGACAACAATTTCCTGGGGGGGGAGGGGGCGGACACTGTCAAAAGTATATACTTTCTATATAAATTCCATTTCGTTCGGGGGGGGGGGAGACTTTTTTCGCATCCCCCCCCCCCCCCCCCCCCCCAGAGATGCCTTGAAGAAACTCTGATCACAACACACTTACAACATAAAAAAAAAACGAATGTGCTTCTGGTCTTAAAATTTAAAAAAAACAAAAGCCTTTGATATTATTTGTTATTATTATTCTTAGATTATTTTATTTACGTATACGTCGTATTAAGAGCCAACAATTTATGGTACACATTTTTACAGGTTAAATAAACAGGTTAAATAAGTAAGCCAGGATATAGTTTAAGCCGTGAGGTCAAAGGTCGAGGGGTGAACCATGTTTTATCACAGGGCTGTTCTAGCAATAAAAGACTTCAGTGGAAGAGAAAGCTTCAATTGATTAGCGAACTCTTCAAGCTAATGAGATTAGGTTAATGCATCTTAACTTGGTTTTCCTTCCCTCGAAATCATAACGAAGTTAGGAGCACCAAAGGGATGTAACCATTAAGTAAGATTTATCGCCCGTTTCATAGGTATTCTTCAGGTTTTCGTGTGTGAAAACCCCCTTCGAAGAGAATGTTGACATTTCTTTAGGAGGATTTTACACAAAGTAGTTCTATAAGCTGGGAATATTACATTTTGTAACTAGGTCTATATATATAATATATATATATATATATATATATATATATATATATATATATATATATAATATATATATATATATATATATATATATATATATATGTGTGTGTGTATGTGTGTGTATGTGTGTGCATTACTTTACAGCTCAGGCGTGTGTTAATTGAATCTATGCTTTTACATTATACACGGCATGGTTCACTTACTCTTACCTCTCCCCCTCAGTTTTTAAACCTCCTGTTCTGAACTTTCCACCATCCACTGTTTTCTTCCCCACTCCCCTTAGCTTTTAATTCAAAACCCCGTTGCGTTCAATTCCTTTCATGCATGTTCTCTAAATCAGCTCCCTTTTTGCCCCCCTCTCTCCCTGACCCCCAGGCACGTTATAAACAAACCTTCTCGTTTGCTTAAAAAAAAAAAACAGACCCCTGTGACTGCCAGTTATGAATAGACCCCCGTGCCCAGTCGTATTGTTATATAAATATGCGTGTGTCACGTGATTACATCTCTTCTACTTCCTGTACCGTGGACTTGAGTTTGTTTACATTGAATTGACTGGTAAGGGGAAGCCACCTGACCTAAACAGAACGCGAGTTCTTCTATTCTTGAAGTCACAAAACGATCCACTCTCTCAATACTCAACCGAACTAGATATAGATCTCTTTATATAAACATTACTGTTCGTTGTTAAATAAACGCCCGTACTATGTAAAATATGTGGTGGTTATTTATCGAGGCTCTACCCGTCATTATCTTAATGTTGTAGATAATAGCTTCGATTAGACATGGAGTTCCTTCACATACCTACATTAATCTATGAAAGTAAATTACTTTTAAGTTAGTGTCACAATCTCAGAGATATTGTCGAAACGTTACCTTAACCGGATAAATCATTTGATCATTACTACATACAGCCAAAAAGTTATATGTAGTATATATATATATATATATATATATATATATATATATATATATATATATATATATATATATATATATACATATATATACATATATATTATATATATATATATATATATATATATATATATATATATATATATATATATATATATATATATAAATATATATATATACATATATATATATATATATATATATATATATATATATATATATATATATCACAACAGAAGCCAGTAGGCCTACGTACGCAGCGCCAGCAGAGGATAATTAAATATGAATAGAGTTCTGGAACTACATGCAGTCGCCTCTAGACCCAGCAGTCGCCTGTACAGCAGACTACACGCACTGACATTTGTGCCACTGAAAGAACAATCAAGACATGATTTATTTATGCCATTGTTTTTTTTTTCTTGTCTGGCAATCAATAGCAAGCTGGAAACAGCACATGGATTCCAATTGTTGTTTATGTAGTGTCAGTGGTAAAGATTTTTTTCCTAATTTGTTTTTATTTTTATTCAGTCATTTTGGTAATGTTTATGTTAAATTAAGAAGGCTACTCCTTGTGTTTGGATAGAAGATTAAGGGAAACTATCCATACAAACGCGACTAGAGTTCAGCACTGGTAAATATAGTTTACCGTGTGTTTTCTTCGTGTTTTGGTAACTAGACTAAATCAGTTCACTATCATACTGAGCGAACAACGCGGTATACTTGGTTACCAATCCTGCGCCCAGGTGTATAAGGGGCGAACACCTGTGCCTGAAAGGGGAGAGAACCTACCTACAAGGGGAAAGTACTCTAATGAAGAGACCATCCATTATGCTAGCATGACTTGGCCGGTCACATAACTCATTGTGCCACCAACATTATTTACGATAAATTTGTACCATTATTCAAACGTTGCCTCAACAGATTATTTTTTTATTTTCAATGTATATATTTACATGCGATAACCATCTATTTAGCGTTTTTTTTTTATCACTGAGGTCCTGACCTTAGTTTATTAGTCGTATTTTTGTTCTTGGAAAAATCTTCAAGTTAATTTCTGGTTATTTTAACCTAGCCAGGTTATATTTATGAGACAGACGTGGTCGGGTGGTACACACCACGACTGCTAACTCGACAGTCTGGAATTCGGATCCTGGGCTCAAGTCCTTTGTATGCCGGGGTCATTGAAACAGTTCAACTCTGCTTCATCTGCCCAATACGTGTTGGGCATGAACGGGGAAGTTGAGATGATAAGGTTATATTTAATCTTTACGTAATTGTTATAACGAAGACAGCTAATCCCGAGCGCACACACACACATACACACACATACATCCTACACTCACACTCAATCAACGTCCCGGTTAATAATATGATTTTTACAAATTCTAGTCTGGAACAAGCGTTGTTTCACCACCGGTACTGTTGTGCCAGGAAACAACACAAATATCAGTGACAAACACTTACAGGACAAAGGGGAAATCAAACCGCTTCTGCTGGGCATGATCGGGCGTGCGCAGACACGTCTTTCCCTGCTGCCCGTGTCACCTGACCGTGGCACCTCTCTACCTGGTTTCTCTGGTCGTGTATTGACAGGCGGGGAATCTTATCTGGCACGGTGTTTCTCTTTTACGGTAGTCGCTGGCGGAATCGTTGGCACCGGGGGGGGGGGGGGGGGGTGTCATAGAACGGAAAGGATTAAGTCTTAAGGCTTATATTTTATGTTCTGGGGGAGGGGAAGGAGAGACGATAACAAAAGTGTACAGGGTCTGTTGTAGTAGAGTCGTTTTCCTTTTATTATGAATAGCAAAAAAAAAAAAAAAGTAAGTAAGAAAATAAAAGGCAGAACGAAAGAAGGAAGGAAACAAAAAAAGGAAAACAAAGATACCAGGAAGAAAAAAACAAAAGAAAAAAAAACAAACACCGCTTGGTTCAGAGTATGACATGTTCATTTCTGTGTTTACTGTTTATTTTGGAGTTATCGATCCTATTTTCCCCTGACTGTAGTGGAATCCTATGGGTCAGCCGCACCCAACAGGGTTATAAAGATAAACCTTATACAGTATAACGTAAGATAAAGTCACTGTGGAATTAATAAACAAGTTTGTACGTCGAGTATGTTAAATGTACCTGTGTTCAAAACTCACTGCAGTTGGCTATTTCTAGTAGAATAAAAGAAATATGTTGTTACTTGGTCTTTCTTTTACTTTTTGGTTATTTGTTAAACGCCAACAGCCAGGTCTAAATATAAAACAAATTATTTGGAATTTAAACAAAAGCCCATTTAACAGTTGGTGATTCAACTTGTGGACTCACTATTCAGCGCTCCCCCTAAACACCCTGCCCCCTGCGGCAAGTGTTACGGTGATTAACTTTATTCTAACACCCCCCCCCCCCCCCACCACCACCCTCGGCTTGCGAACCAATAACGCTTCAGTGATCCTTAAACAGAAAAACGCCATTAATCTAACACAAATTGATTCTTTAAACTCACTCAGCGACTGAAGGTCAAAGTGAGCTGTTGATCAGATTTAAAAAAAAAAAATCTCTTGTTAGTTAAACTCAATAGTGTTGGTCGACTACCCCCCCCCCCAAACTATCTAGACGAATAAAGTTACCTCAGCGTTGAGGTATGTACAGGCATGTAGCAGTCGTATCGTGTCACGGGTGTCAGTGTAGGGCCTTTAGGTACTTTCTACACACCCGCATGTGTAGCTTGTAAATTAGAGTTCTGGCAAGCGAAGTCCGTTTGTCAAACCTTTTCTACAGCATATCTACAAGTATTTCTCTTTACTGGTGTAACGTTGTATAAGTACATAGTTTGCTGTATGATTAATTACATACAAGTTTATTAGGAACTGAGTGGCCAAGCGGTAGAGCTCAAGGCTTCCTACCCGTAAGTTTCGAGATCGAATCCTGCTTCAACCCATCCTTGATGGGAAACAAAGGCGGCTGTGCATAGTGCTGATCACACTATGAACGCAACTTCATCTGGTATCCTCCATAATTCACACAATCGATCTTTCGACGTTATTCTTTCTTTCATTCAGTTTTTTTTCTCCTATTTCGCCTTCATTCTCCTCCAACTCATCTATTCCTCTCTCCCTTCCTCTCTCTCTCTCTCTTCCTCTCTCTCTCTCTCTCTCTCTCTCTCTCTCTCTTCCTCTCTTTCTCTTCCTCTCTCTCTCCTCCACAAAACAAATGTTTTCTCAATGCTATCGATCACTTCATCTTGTCCTCCAGTTATCGCAGTCTCATCGAATCCAGTGGAAAAAGGTAGCGTTCAGTAAACGTTTGGCTTGGTTAGCAACCAATCAAACGCCGTGGTTTTGTTTACCGTTGTCATGGCGGCGGGGAGCGGCGGTATAAATGGGTCGCGGCGCGCGTGGAAAATTTCACACAGACCTCACGAAGACTTCATCGGGTCACTGTGAGCTGCCGTTTGTTTAGACGTACTCATCTTTACGTGTGCTATTAGTCTGAACCATGGTGAGTAGGTGATTTAATGTTTAAAATTATATTGTGAGTACGTAATTCCTTGACTTGTTAAAAAACATGGTTAGTAGTTGTATAACCCATTGGTTTAAAACATAATTGGTAATTGCATAGCTCATTAACTAAAATATGGTTAGCACATTAATAGATGGTAAGTAAATTCATATCACATTAGTTTAAGACACGGTTAGTAATTCCTTCGCCCATTAATGTAAAACATAGTAATTTCAAACGTATTAATTTGAAACATAGTAGGTTAGTAATTTCATAGCTCACGTTGTGATAGTACTCACACTTAATTTACTACTTAAGTGGTTCTCGTTATGTTTACTCACCACCCCCAGTCAGTTGTTTAACGTGCATACACGTGTAGCCAAACCTCTGTTGTTAATCCCTATATTAACTGGCAACCCCTCATTATAAAATATAACGCTAATTTAAATATATTTTTATTATATTTCCAAATCAACGAGAAAGTGCTCATCTTTATAAAAATAAAAGTGGTGTTTATTTGTGGTCTGCTGTGACTGAGCTTTTGTTCGTCAATCCCAAAATTTTAAATTGGTCTATGAGAACATAGATTTAGAAGATTTAAAATATGTGAGATTATAATAGTTAGCTGTGAAGATGAGTAACTTAAGCCAACGCATTTCAGTTTCATCTATTACATAGTGTAGACCTCATGAATACGTGTGAATTAGCATCCTTTAAAACTGAGCTAAATCTCCAAATCAGATTTTCTTTTAGGCATCTCTTTAGGGGGGCATCGCACCCCCCACCCCCCCCGAAGAAAGTCTACCGCCCCCCCCCCCCCGAACGAAATCGAATTTATATAGAAAATATATACTTTTGACAGTGTCCTCCCCCCCCCCCCCGAAAATTTCAAGTGCACCCCCGGAGAAAAAAGTCTGGAAGAAACACTGCTCCAAATACTACACAGGAGGTGTTCCATTTACCATAAACCACACCCCCACCCCCTCCATTCATTCTTCAATTAAATTCCCTTACAAACATCCATTTTCTTCAATATTACTCATTTTATTCCCTGACTAATGCATGTATCAAAGCATACTATTCAAAAAACACATACTTTGTGTCAGAATACTACATTTTATGTCTTCGTGTTTTCAACAAATGATGGATAAAAGCAACGTTTTAAATGTTACGGGCGCAACATAAACAACGCGGTCTGCATGTTTTCTCTTGTTGTCATTTGGTTTCTATAATTGAAACTGGCCACACACAAAAAAAAACTACACCGGCAAAGTTTACCTGGCAACGTGTCTCGGCGTGCAAGGTTTAACTTGAGTCATCTCCCCTTCAAGTGGGACGTCAAGTCGAGGTGGACGAGTTATCATTAGAGGGGGGGGGGGAGGTGTTGAGGTGTGTGTGTGGGGTGGGGGGGGGGTGAGGCGTGTGTCCTTGTTAGGTGATGTTTGGTTCTGTGGTGTTCCTTACACCACCTTCATAACACACAACACACCAAAAGCCATACACACCACACCAAACACTACAAGAACCACACACACCACAGCAAACACCACACAGAGCACACCACACCACAGCAAACACCACAGTAAACACCATAGCAAACACCACACAAAGCACACCACACACACCAGATATATACCACACCAAACATCACACACACACACACACCACACACACCACACCACACACCAGACACCACACACACAACACCACACACCAGACACCACACACACAACACCACACACAACACCACACACACAACACCACACACCAGACACCACACACACAACACCACACACACAACACCACACACACAACACACCAGACACCACACCAAACACTACACACACCACACCACACACACCACCCACGCACACACCACATGACACCGCACACAGCAAAGTCCGCACATACCACACTCCAGATGTCAGGATGGTGATTTATTTCCTGCCCTGCAGTTTTGACAACCTGAGACAAAGTGTAATTTATTATCAAATACATTTACTAATTAATTATGTTATTAATGAAATTACACGTTACTAATTGGTTTTACACGTGCATCTATTTTTTTTTTAAACTGCGGTCAGTTCTATGCTTAGGCACATTTTTTCCCTAACTTAAGTCAAGTACATGTCAGAGCTGGGTGGACTCATGGGTTTATGGACTCGATCCCAGGATCAAATCTAGAGACTGTGTGCACTACCGCCCGACTATGCAATTGTTAATATTGTAGATAGTATGCTTAGCCTGCGCTTAATTATGTGGTTAATACAATTTAACGCTAGGTCTACGGTTAAGTTCTATCAAGTGACAAGTCGTGTTAGACGTTCTATGTGTCTACCTGCCTACCGTCCTATCCCAAGTAAAAACGTTGACTTATCTGTGAGAGTTACTTCCCTTGAGAGCCAATTAGCAGTTTAAAATAGGCAACATCTTTACTGCTAGCTCTGGACTGTCATACACCCGTACTCACGGGGGCACCCGACCTGAGTTGAATCTCCTTATTCCAAGATAAGCAAATTACAAAAACAAGATCTGGCTGTGATTAAGATGGAAGAGGGGGGGGGGGGGTAGAAAAAAAACTAGGGCTTGGTTTTAAATTCGAGGTTAATCGAGTGCATTAAACAAAGATTCATTAGTGCCTGGCTGAGTTAATTGTCAGAGCTAGTTAGGGGTTAGAGAGAGGCAGTGGTCAGGTGAATTGCGTGCTAAAAGGTCATACTCAGGTTCAAGAGGAGAGGGGGGGGGGATGCAAGGTAGAGGCTTTACACAAGTATTTAGCCTCATTTTAGTAAAATTTGCAGCTCGTAATTGATTTTCGTTTAAAAATTTAGCCACGTATTCTTAAACAGTGCAGCTAGTATTTAATTCTAGCTAAATATTTATATAAAAAAAAAGAATAGATTTTTAAACTTGTTTTGTTTACAAAAGAATTGATAACCCACCACCACGGTAATAACAATCCGAACTTATTCCCCTCCCTATTCCCCCCCCCCCCCCCCCCCCCCCCCCCCAGTGTCAAGAAATTATTGGTGCAATGGAGCTACTTGTCTGTGACATTTGAATGAAAAGAATGCTACATAAATAAAATAATATAAATGTCATATATTTAGAATAGGGTTAATTACATTCACAACAACAATGTAACGCATTTAAGATGTCATATAACAGACTTAACATTCATATTAGACTGCAGGAAAACGAAATTTAATGTTTAAATGTCGAAAACATATATTGAAAATTGTAATTTTCTATGAATAATTAAATTTAACTACAATTTATCTTGCCATAATTATTTTTAATAATGTGTATTAATTGTTTAGCCCACCAATCCTATTAATTAATTATTAATATAGTGATTAAAAAAAAGAAGTAAAGATCCCCTTCTAAACCTGACAGTCTACGGGGCAAGTGATGTAGAGTTCAATTGTTTCTATGACCTCATATGAAGGGATAAAACGATTACTTTTAATTAACCTTCCTAATTAACTTCCTCCCCCAGCGTGAGTGTATCTCAGTGCACGTGGGTCAGGCTGGCGTCCAGATCGGCAACGCCTGCTGGGAGCTGTACTGTCTGGAACATGGCATCCAGCCGGACGGTCAGATGCCCTCAGACAAGACCATTGGGGGCGGGGACGACTCCTTCAACACATTCTTCAGCGAGACGGGGGCGGGCAAGCACGTGCCCCGGGCAGTCTTCGTGGACCTGGAACCCACAGTTATAGGTAAATTAGAGATCAATTAATATCCACAGGGGGGGGGGGGGGGAATCATGGAGTATCACTTAAGCCCACAGTGGGGGGCGGACACTGTTAAAAGTATATATATAGTAAAAAAAATTCGGGGGGGGGGGGGCTAAGCCCCCCCCCCCCCCCCCCCGAAGAGATGCCTGGAAGAAACTCTGATAGGTAATGGTCGGCACACTCACGGGTGTTTGTAATGTGCGGCGTTTTCGTGGACCTAGTGCCCATAGTTAAAATATAGATTACGTTAAGGGGGTGGGGGTGGCGTCTTCGTTGACCTGAAACCCACAGTTATAGGTGATGGGCGACACACTCAAGGGTGTTTAATGTTGGGCGTTTTTGTGAACCTTAAGCCCATAGTTAAAGTATAGATTACAATAAGGGTAGCGTCTTCGTGGATCTGGAACCCACAGTTATTGGTAAATTAGAGATCACTTGATACACATGAGGGGGGGTGGGGGAGGGGGGTTAGGGGAATCACCTATTTCCCAAATGTATTAGTAAATTACAGCTAATCTTTAAGAGGGGATCTTGGTGGACCTAGAGCCCATTATCTTTGGTAAATTAGAGATTTACTTAATAGGTGGCCTATGTGGACCTAGAGCCCAGTTATTGGTAAATTGGTGCTCAATTTTAAAGCAGTAGAAGAGAGGGGCCGTCTTTATGGACCAAGTGCCCACAGATTTTGGTTAACTAGAGCCTTCTATTCAGGAGGTGTGCTGTGTCTTTGTGGACCGGCACCACTCACTTGAATTCTACTCTTAACCTGAACCTTTATTCCTATAAGTGAACATTGGTAAGCAGTTACAAAGTCATGATTGATTTAAACATGCCATTTACTATTCTACTTATTCGTGACCTTTGAACTTGCTCCACCCCAGACGAGGTCCGCACGGGCACCTACCGTCAACTCTTCCACCCGGAGCAGCTGATCACCGGCAAGGAGGATGCCGCTAACAACTACGCCAGAGGCCACTACACCATCGGCAAGGAGATCGTGGACCTGGTTCTGGACCGGATCAGGAAGCTGGCTGACCAGTGCACCGGCCTGCAGGGGTTTCTGATATTCCACTCCTTCGGGGGAGGGACGGGGTCAGGGTTCACCTCCCTGTTGATGGAACGTCTGTCTGTGGACTACGGCAAAAAGTCGAAACTTGAGTTCTCCATCTACCCAGCACCACAGGTAAAAAACTTACTATATTTATATATATATATATATATATATATATATATATATATATATATATATATATATATATATATATATATATATATATATATATATATATTTACTTTATTTATTTCGAATATAGAGACTCAGACGATCTTAACCAAACCAATTATTTACGGTACAAAACTTAACTCTAAGATAATCTAAGCTCTTACCATGATATCTATCCTGCTAAATATTGCTAATAGCTAATCGGTAACACTTGAAAATATTGGTAGACTGGACTTTAAACAGAAAGATGCTTTTAATTTGTATGGAGGTTTTGTTAATGAAGCATTAATTCGTAGAATATACATTAAGTAGGTTCAGTGGTTGCTGTAAAAAAATATGTCTGTACCTTGCAGGTATCCACCGCCGTTGTTGAGCCGTACAACTCTATCACTGTCTGTATCTTACAGATTTCTTGAGCCGTACAACTCTATCACTGTCTGTACCTTACAGATTTCTTGAGCCGTACAACTCTATCACTGTCGGTACCTTGCAGGTATCCACCGCCGTTGTTGAGCCGTACAACTCTATCACTGTCTGTACCTTCCAGATTTCTTGAGCCGTACAACTCTATCACTGTCGGTACCTTGCAGGTATCCACCGCCGTTGTTGAGCCGTACAACTCTATCACTGTCTGTACCTTGCAGGTATCCACCGCCGTTGTTGAGCCGTACAACTCTATCACTGTCTGTACCTTACAGATTTCTTGAGCCGTACAACTCTATCACTGTCGGTACCTTGCAGGTATCCACCGCCGTTGTTGAGCCGTACAACTCTATCACTGTCTGTACCTTGCAGGTATCCACCGCCGTTGTTGAGCCATACAACTCCATCACTGTCTGTACCTTGCAGGTATCCACCGCCGTTGTTGAGCCGTACAACTCTATCACTGTCTGTACCTTACAGGTATCCACCGCCGTTGTTGAGCCGTACAACTCTATCACTGTCTGTACCTTGCAGGTATCCACCGCCGTTGTTGAGCCATACAACTCCATCACTGTCTGTACCTTGCAGGTATCCACCGCCGTTGTTGAGCCGTACAACTCTATCTCTGTCTGTACCTTACAGGTATCCACCGCCGTTGTTGAGCCGTACAACTCTGTACCTTGCAGGTATCCACCGCCGTTGTTGAGCCGTACAACTCTATAACTGTCTGTACCTTGCAGGTATCCACCGCCGTTGTTGAGCCGTACAACTCTATCACTGTCTATACCTTGCAGGTATCCACCGCCGTTGTTGAACCGTACAACTCTAACACTGTACCTTGCAGGTATCCACCGCGGTTGTTGAGCCGAACAACTCTATCACTGTCTGTACCTTGCAGGTGTCCACCGCCGTTGTTGAGCCGTACAACTCCATCCTCACCACCCACACCACCCTGGAACACTCCGACTGCGCCTTCATGGTCGACAACGAGGCCATCTACGACATCTGCCGGCGTAACCTTGACATTGAGCGTCCGACCTACACCAACCTGAACCGGCTGATCGGCCAGATCGTGTCGTCGATCACCGCCTCCCTCAGGTTTGACGGCGCCCTCAACGTGGATCTGACAGAGTTCCAGACCAACTTGGTGCCCTACCCGCGCATACACTTCCCTCTGGCCACATACGCCCCTGTCATTTCAGCGGAGAAGGTGAGTACACATTAGCATACTTTCTCATGCATTGGCGAGTATAATATCACACTGTTACCTTAAATATTGCGTAAATGGTTAAAAATAAAATAAATGTATACCAAAAAAAAAAAGAAAACGAAAGGAGGACACTAACGGGAAGGGACTTTTTTCTAGACATGTTTCTATAGACTAACTAGCACTTTGAGCATAGTACTATACACAATCACTTGGTAAACCTCGGTCAAAGAAACCAATGAGAATGAGCTCTAGTTTTATGTACTGCCCGCGCCTAAAAGGGAACTTTTACTAGTATATGTCATTACACATGAAATATATACCAGGTCTATAACCTCATTATGATCACGTGAATTTCGTGCTGTTAACGTGACAATATCAATAGTGTTAACGTGGCCATATTTAAAATGTTCAGTCACACCTGTGGTGTGTTTAACATGACCACACCACTAGTGTGTTTAAAGTGAACACATCGGTTGTGTTTAACGTGACCACATTACTAGTGTGTTTAACGTGACCACACCACTAGTGTGTTTAACGTGAACACACCACTAATGTGTTTACCTTGACCACATCACCACGTGACCAATGTATCATTACCCCCAGGCCTACCACGAGCAGCTGTCAGTGGCTGAGATCACCAACGCCTGTTTCGAGCCAGCCAATCAGATGGTCAAGTGTGACCCACGTCACGGCAAGTACATGGCCTGCTGTATGCTGTACAGAGGTGATGTTGTCCCCAAGGATGTCAACGCTGCCATAGCAACCATCAAGACAAAGAGAACCATCCAGTTTGTGGACTGGTGCCCCACTGGTTTCAAGGCAAGTAAAGGGAGAATAACCATAAGTATATTCAACAAAACTCTTTTGAGTTATTTCCCATTAGTGTTATCAATTTTACAATACAAAAAAAAGCGATTTTCATAACTTTTTAAAAAGTTACCAATTACTCCTTACGATTATTGATTAGTAGGATTTTGTTATAACATTTTAAAATAGATTTGTATTAATCGTTTAATAACATTAATTTTATTATTTCTTACATAAAACTAACTATGCCTAGAGCCTATTTACATAGTTGGGAATATTAAAATTACTCGGAAACTGTCCCGCTCACTGCTATAGAAATATAGATATTATTTTTATATTTTGGGCCCCGAGCTTTGCCCACTCAGCCTCCCTATCAGTCCGCCACTGAATGCTAACAGTTGTAAACATTTCTACAGGTCGGCATCAACTACCAGCCACCAACTGTTGTACCTGGAGGTGACTTGGCCAAGGTCCAGCGTGCGGTCTGCATGTTGAGCAACACCACGGCCATAGCTGAGGCCTGGGCTAGACTTGACCACAAGTTTGACCTTATGTACGCTAAGCGTGCATTTGTCCACTGGTACGTGCTCCATTTCTCTCTTCATGTGTCTCGCTATACCATTGTTAAACTTGGCTTTTGTTATAATCAAGAGATATAACCCTTAAATGAAATGTATCTTAACTTACCTCCCTCAGCATGTCAATTTTTACTTTCTCGTATATACGAAGTATAGAGATAGTATTGTAATTGTGCACAAAAATCACTTGAAATTTTAACAATTTTCACCGTATTACACCTCAATCCTTCATCACATCCGAAGTATAGAGGACTTGTTTTAATCGGGCAAAAATTATCAATCGAGATTTATCAAAATTAAGAGGTTTTATGCGTAATCCAGTATGAAAAACTGGGCTTTGTAATTCTGTCCGTATGTCTGTATGTCCGTATCAACTTTTGAGCGATTTCTGATAACCGGAAGTGGTACTTTTTCTACTTTGAATTTTTCAAAAGCCTATAACTTGAGTACTATTTCAGATAGATAAATGAAATTTCACATGTAAGTAAAAGATCTAATTCTCTACCTTCTGTTAAATTTTGAGTAATTTCCGTTGACCGGAAGTAGTAATTTACGCTACTTCCGATTTCTCAAAACACTAATGTAAATTTTTAAAGTATTAATAATATTGCGCACTATTATGCACTTTTTTATTTGGCGTTCACTTGGTGTGCAATTTTTTTGTCTACGAGATTTTATTCTATTTTTAAAACTTTAAGTATTTAAAATGGATTAAAAATCATGTCTATAGCCCGAGTTCCCATCCCCTGTTGTTTTATATAAGAATATTCGAGAAATTTTAGGGGAGATCACTCCCGGTTTATTTTGTTTATACACAACTTGCTTGTATTACTTTCAATGCTAGAGAAAACGCTCTAGAAATATTTTTTTTGAATTTTCAAAATTTGGTATGGCGAAATTCCATTAAAATTAATGCTAAATTTAATGGAATTTCACCATAAAAAAAATTTGAAATTTGAAAAAAAATGTATTGCTATTTTTCTCTCACAAAAACTACCCAGCTGACTGACTCTATTAGTGTTAGTAGAAGAAAGATCAATGATTGTATAGCCCATATATATGTTACTTTATGAAATTTTAGAACTCCACAAAAGGCAGTTTTTTCAAGATGGCCGCCGTTGCCATGGCAACCATGTTTTCAGAAGAGTCCCTGATGCATGCAAATATTCTCCCTTTAGTACCCTAACTTATACATACACAAATAAATAAGAAAGGCTTATTAATTAAAAAGTGTTTTTCCTGTTTGTTTACTGGAGCCTACCCCTATAAAAGGGGAGGATATTGTACGTGGTGACCACCTGATACTATGGGAAGATGGTCTAGAGAGTGACCATCTTTGAGTGATGTTTACTTTACAAGTGTTGCTTATCTCCTCCACAGGTACGTGGGTGAGGGCATGGAGGAGGGTGAGTTCTCCGAGGCCCGTGAGGACCTGGCCGCCCTGGAGAAGGACTATGAGGAGGTGGGCGTGGACTCGGTCGAGGGGGAAGGGGAGGAGGAGGGGGAGGAGTACTAGCCACGCCAGCCTGACCAGAAGCTGTCGGTACAACAGCAGCAACAGCAGCAGCATCAGCACATACGGTGTTGACCAATATGACCAATTATGACCTCACATATCAATTAAACGTCGAAGTTTTTTTTTTTCTTTTTAAACTCTGGCGGAAAAGTAAAATATCTACAATAAATTATTGTCCAAACATTCAATAGTAGAGTGGGTTTTTTCTTTTGTTTGTATTCGTGTGTGTATCACTGACGTTACTTAGCAACGACAGCTCAGTGTCAAGTAATAGCAAATATGACACCAGTTGCGTGAATCTAACATCAAGATGAGGTGGTATTCTAAATGTATGGGATTTATTTCACAACTATTTCGATACTTCCATATTCTCCTAAGAGTTAGAATCTTAGTTGTGTTATTTTGGTATGGCTAACCCAGTAGTGGGCTAAGATTTAGCGGTCTCCCCAGATACTGCACTATCAGCCACCCCCACCTCCCACACACACATTAACACACACCCTAAATCTCCCTATGGACTACCCTAATTATTGGCGTTCTTATTTACCGTAAAGTAGCAGAAGAAAAAAAACACAAAGTTGTGAAATTTAATTTAAAATAATAATTATGTTATGGTCTGTGGATGGTAGTATAGCGCACTGTTATTTTTAACTGCCTTTGGTTGCACTTATTCTTACTTTAGAAAACATTTTGCCAATGAAAACATCGACATTAGCAGATTGCGAATTCTTTTATTTTTAAACACAAACATAAAAAGTTTAAAGTATAATCTGTAAATAAACAAAAATATATTTTATTTCTATAAAATGAAATTATTTCCTTCATTTCTTAGAACCATTATATAGAACGGATAGTAGAGGTCTATAGTAATGTCATATAATGTTAAGTGGGAGAGGGAGATGGTACTAATGTCACGATTTTATAATATGAGCGTCATCCTTATGTGGTAATCCTTAAATGTGGGTAGTTTCTGAACTCTGACTACAGATTATTGTCGTGGAACCAGATACAATTTTAATGGCTGTAAGTTTGATGAGATGTTGCTGTAAAGTTCGATGCGTTTTATCTAAGTTTCAACCAGTCTACACCAACAGTAAGCTACAAACCGTGTATTTACTAGGCTACTAACCCAGCCAAAGTAAAGACTGACTAGTAGATCTCTAGATGGCATTTATCGACTTACATGTGCCTGTCTAGGGTTTAATATGCAACACTATCGAAAACATTGTGGTAGGATGATTGCTTGATTGGATGTCCAATTTCCCTTTACTGACTCAATCGTTTTGAGTTCTGTCCAGCTCTGATCGGTACCTGACTTACGTTAGGGAAACAAAGGAGGCTGGTGTAGGAGGATTGATGACTGGATGGTCAATACCACCTTTACATACCCAAAAGTTTTGAGTTCAGTACACCCAGCTCTGATGGGTATCTGACTTACATTAAGGAAACAGAGGCAGATGTGCTTTGTGCTGACCACACAATCCCCTATTGATCTATGTCATTGAATCAGCTAAGCTCTACTTCACCTGCGCAAAGTGTCTTGGACAGGAACGGAAAATATATTGATGAACCAACAAAACTTTACTAATATTTTGTGAATAGGGCATTTTTCTGGCAGCAAAACATTGTTCTAATACAGTAGTCAATACATTGATAAACTCTACTCTAGTTACCCCTAGGCCGATCCTGTCCCATCCCTATACTACGCAAAAACACTCGTTTCTAGTATTGGAGTTTTAATTCACCGTTTTTTTTTACTCTAGTTAAAATAAGATTTATTTTAACAACCAGAACATGTACTTTCTACTTCAGAAAGCGTGGGTCGCTATTGTATATTTTATTGTTTGTTATATAGTGGTAAATTATTATATGTTTTAAGAAATCATTTTATTCTTAGTGCATATACAAATGCTAATTAAAAACGCTTCTGTTTAATATTGTTTCAAAGATTGCGTTGAAAAAAAAAAAAAGAAAAAGCAAGGACAATAGCTTTGTCAAACTGGAGATTCACTATCCTGAATTACTGCCCCTTTATTGCAAGCAGTGTTTGGAAATGAGATTTTAAGTATTCGTCAGATAGATAGTGCATGAAGAAGCTCGACACATAAACGTTGTTCAATACTGGAGGGTCGGTTGTCAGGGCTGATTCGTTTTATCAGAGCTATGGTACAGTGTGGTCGGATGGTAGAGCTTACGACTGCTAACTCGCAAGTCTCGAGTTCGGATCTTGGGCTTGAGGCTGGAGGACATCCCTGAGCCCACCTAGCTCAGTTGTTTACCTCAGCGGTAACTGACTCGCGTTAGGGAAACAAAGACGACAGTGCATATTATTCCCCTGTATTCAGAGGTCTTTGAAACAAGTGAACAGACTTCATATGCCCCACGCTTCTTGGGCACAAACGGGGAAAAAAGAGAATGATATTGTCACTTCTCTATTTTACAACATTTAAGGGCATTAAATCAATAGACATATGGACGCGGCATGTATTGCATAGCAAAACATTTGCACTTTCTAAACATAACATCCTTCAATCGACGCTTACAGAATATATACGTTTTAAGTTTAAAATTTTCTGAGGATTTTAATGTATCAAATTCTGGTTTTCTCTAGGCCTGTACCTTTTAATGAAACTGTTTTATTGACTTAACTAATCGATTTGCATTTGCTTTCTTCACTGTATTTAAAGTTAAAACCATTTACGCTATTTCTAACATCGTGAGTGTAAATGGGTTGGTGTAAACACATCAGTTTAGGGGTCGTGCTTAATAGTCGTCTTACTTCTTGTAGGGTGTCATCCATAATAGACGTCTTACTTCTGGTTATGGGCTAAACATTTGAGACAGTATTTGCGAGGGGGGAATAAAAGGGGGAGGGGGGAGGTGAAAGTGCGACGTCATTATTTATTTGTCAAAAAAGTATTTTAATTTGTAATAATATATCTAATTTTGTACCTTGTATTTAAAACTGATGATTGATGTACCCAAATCCTTGGCATCAGTTATTGGTCATTCACTTCATTTTGCCATAAGAAAAAAAAAGTACAATAATAATTCAATTATAAATATAATGTACTCTATCTACTTAAGAGGACGGGTGGCTGAATGGTAGATTGATTGACTGCTAATCCGGCGACCTCGAGTTCGGATCTCTGTTTGAAGTCACGTCTGCCAGAATTTCCTGAGTCCACCCAGCTCTAAAGGGTACCTGACTCACGTTAGGGAAAGTAAAGGCGGCTGGGCATATTACTGACCACACTATCCCTGCATATACAGTGGTCTTTGAAACACTACTTCATCAGATTATGTGTCTTGACAAAGCAATGACAATGATACTACTTAATTAAGTCATAAAATCATTATGAGAACAAAATGTAATTTAATCTCATACTTAATACAATATTTACAAGTTTCTGCTTCACTATAAAAACAACAGTTTTAAAATCTAATATTCAGTTACAAGTGTATAAATATAACATGTTATAATTCACAAGACAGCAGCAGCTATATAGTACGTTGTCAGATTTGCATAAATAATCATTGTGTATACATATGGATTGTGTGTACATAATGATTGTGTGTACATAATGATTGTGATAGATCACTACTCAGCCTATGGTGTAATAACTAGAAATACAACTAAACAAATCAAGACAGGATACTTGCAAATGTCATAAACATTTTTGTCGAAGGTTGAAACATTTGAATAAAATATATAAAATATATGAATATATACAATTTAGACAGACGTGTGGTTAGTGTTGGAGCTGTGTTATGTATAGTTGGGTGGGAGGGGGAGGGGCGTGTCTTTTTGTATTGATATTAACGATATTGTAATTGTCTATATATAATGGTATTATTTTAACGCCACCAAATAGGCCTCTAATACCAATTATCACTGTATACAACATTCTGATTAGATCATATTAAATTAGGATCTACAAATTCTAAATTTATATATCTGCTAATCACGATCAATGAAAAAAAAATGTAAATGTACATGAAAGTAAAATTATTGTTAAAAGTTCTTAGCTTCAGTGGCGTAGCGAGGTCGGGTGTCACCCGGTGCGGCACTTAATGGTGTCACCCCCCCAGAGGCATTGCGACCCTTCCCGGGGACAAACTTTCCAGTTTTTTATTTGCACCCCCCCCCCCTCAAACTTTCGATTTGCACCCCCCCCCTCAAGTTTTTCTCTATATATTTTGCTATTTTTTGCCTTGGTGTCACCCCTCTAAATGGTGTCACCCGGTGCGGTCCGCACCCCCGCCCCCCCCCCTCGCTACGCCCCTGCTTAGCTTATCGGTCTTTATGGTGAGATTGTTCCTCTGATTTGGAATTAGAAATCTAGATCTCGTTTAAAATATAATTGAAGTCTTTACTTAGAGTGCACTACACAATGATGATTCGTTTGAAAATACTTTTGAATTTTTAACGTTGAGTGCTCTACACTTTGATGATTCGCTAAAAATACATTAAAAACCTAATAGTTAAGTGTTCTACACTTTGATGCTTCGTTTAAAATACATTTAAACTCTTAAAACTGAGTGCTCTTCAACTGGTTGATAATAATAAGATAAACCAATCGATCAGGTTGTAATAAATTATTCTTTTAAAAAAAACAATGAAAAATGTTTTTGATTTTGCTACTGTCAACAAACAGAAAAACATGGCGTCTTCCAGTGCGGTTTGCACGAGGTCGATTTGTGGTTTCATTCAGAGGAGAATTCGTCAAGTTGATATGGGCGTGTAGGTCAAACTAAAAAGTGATGTCGTATGCTTATGAGGGGAAGTGTGAGTAATTTTCAGTTTGTGGGAGGGGTGGGTGTCGGATCTTTACACCTAGAAAAACATCGTTAATCGGCGTAAAAAGCTGTCGTGTTTTGAGGTTTTTGGGAAGTAGAAAAGTAATGTGTTTAATGTAAAGAGTTGCACGTGATTTTAACAAAGTAAATGTTTTCATGTCAATTCATGTTAACTTCAGATCATCAAAAGTATATATAAATATATTTTTATATACACATAAATTAAATATATAAATGTGATGTTTGGTTTTATTACTGTATCAACCAATAGTTTTTCAGTATTTTTCCAGGGCAGGTTTGGGCTGACCTAGACCTTGCTCCACGGACTTCCGTCTCCGCAGTCCCGCTTTGGCGCTCGACTTGACCCCAGCGCCGCCATTTTTCGACT